ACTTTATTCGTAAAGTATATCCGATTATGTCCCATCCGACTGGAACCGATGATCGATTGGCGACAAATTTCAATCTGATTTCCATTACTAAAAGCATTTTCACCAGCCTGGGAAAAATAGCTCGTGTCATGTTAGTCAAAATATATTGACGTGCCAAAGGCTTGATTCTGAGATATTTTCGTTCTGGGGCAGAATCTCGCTTTAGAGGCGAGATATTGGCCAGACACAAAAATAGCAGCACAATATCTTGTCGCGCAGTACAATAAGTTGGACTAGTGTCATGTCAACAAAGGAATCCGGGTCAGCTCGGCCCTAAAACGTACTCGGCCCCCGAGTCAGCTTGGCCCTATCCACTATCACTATTTATTGTAATTATTTATAAATACACCTATTGACAGTTTTAGAATTAGCAGCAGACAGGCTTTCTTATCAGTAGAATTGCGAGTAAAGATAACCAATTGCGTATCTCACTGTTATTTCTGACTTTAAAATACCTTTCAGTGTCAAACAATGTGTTGAAATATATATTGTTACGGGCTATTTATTATCATCAATCAGTGTGTATGTTAAGGATATTGATTAATTAGGTGATAATTATGATTGACTCATTCATTCCAATTTGATTAGTGACCACCTGCAATTAATTAGAAGCTTATGATATGAAGTTAACACATTTTTGTTTCATATGTTTTTGAATGTTACTTTACAAACAAAATGCCTCTAAGGAAAAACATTTTGATTAGATCGATCTATATTAATTTTATCGAATCTGCAAGAGAAATAAAAAAAAAATCTAAATGTACTTATTTCGGCAGAAGTATAATTATATAATAATAAGATATTTCTCATTATTCATTTACCTTAACAAAATGCAAAGCAAAGTTAATACGTTATATATATTTTTGTAAAGTGGGCCGAGTTGACCCGTGCCGAGTCGGTATAGGGCCGAGTTGACTCTTTTCCTCAACAAAGACACTTCAGTTTTTTCAAGTTTGATTTTTTGCAGAAGCCTGGAAGTCGCAAAAGAACATTGTTCTAATTACTACTTAACAGTTTCGAGTTATTCAGTTGGAAATATTTAAATAATCATGTTAAAATGAACGAATTTCTTACCAAAGAAAGCCAGTGCCGATAAAATTACTCCCGTCTTGCAAGCCGCCATTTTTTGTAATAATTTGATATCACATGACTTACAACTAAGTCACATGAGTCATTACACCGTCACGTGACATCCTGATACTGTAAATCAGCGGTTTTTTTGTTGTGGTGTTTTTTTTACTATTCCGTGAGCTTTTAATAAGACTTTGTTTGGCGACATATTTTACTTCAAGGGCCCCAAAAAATTTAAGGGGAAAGCTGCTACAAAAAAGAGAAATAGAAAATTTCCCAAAAAAGCCCGCACTTGTAGTTTTTAAAACCCCTTTAAAGCCTTTAAAAAATTTTAAATTTTAACATTTATTTCTGGGCCCAGGGTGGACATACTGTCTGGGAAGTTTCAAGCTACTGTTCACGCCCCCCTTTCACCGACTAAAGCAGTATTCAACTCACGGGGGAAACACGTGAAATTTGTAAAAGTAATACCCAGAGAAAAAAGGCGAGGCTGACCCCGGTAAAAATTGTTAAACCTTTTTTTATTAAAAAATTTGGGGACAACGTTTTTTTAAAACAAAAAAAATCCTAAGGGGGGTAAACATATGCGCCCGGGAAAATTTTTGTCAAAGGGGCAATACCAAAAAACATTATCCTACGTTTTGTAGTTTTTTTTTGAGAACATTGTTTGAATTGTGTGAAAATTGCACATTCAGCGATAGTAATCCACACGAAGCGCCAAAATAAATTAAAATAAGCTTTTTTCTGCACTTAAGACACCAAATCAATCATTTTATTGACATCTGTTATCGTAGAAGTCCATATAAAATTTTGTTCGAAGGTATGTAGCCTACAAATGTTCTTTGCAAGTGTATATATATAGTAAGTGAAACGAACGATTTCTGGATAGTAAGTCGCACGAGAACAAAATTGTAAGTTTCACGCACAGTTTCCAATAGATTACTAAAATGTGACAAAACTATTATATAATTCTTTTGGTTACCAATTTGCATGTGTGTTAATGTCGTCTACGGTGACAGAGAAACAAATGTCGAGAAAGTATTTTAATAATTATTCATATTATTTGTAATACATGTATTCGATTCATATTCATATAATTTCATAAAAGATTACTTATCTTAAAAAAAATAAATGAGAGATTGGCATTGATACTCAACAATGTACGTTTCGCATGGCCCTTTTTCACGTTAGACCGGGCCCACATCCGTCATCTGTAGAACTAGATATATAAAGAAATAACCGTGCAGAAGGAAATATTACAACACTATCATTTACTTTTAAGTATCTGCAATTTGGACCAAAAACGCAAAGGAGAAGACATTCGCCATATCACATTGGTGCGTCCATGGCCGTGTGGTTAAATTCCCTGATTTTTATACACATGCTTCTCACCGCTATGGATTCTAGTCCCACCAGTGTCCTTGATTTCTTTTATCAAACTAGGAAACAAAACGTCGGTGCTTTAACTCAGGTGTCGTGACATTGACGGTGTGATTTGAAACCCAGCATCTCAGATTGTTTTATGTAAATATTTTTTTTACTCCACTTTCCTTCACTAAAAAGTACAAATATCTTTGACCGTTTGATTCCAAATATTCGTCTTTCTTTAAAGGCCCCTGCCTCTGAAATGCTATCATTTTTATTTAAAAAAAACCTGTTTATTTTTGGTATCTTGTTACAGTTTCCGAAAACATGCTAGATACTCAAACTATCTTAGATACATCTTAAGTTATGTTGGCAATTGGTATACCTTAAGTGATTAAGTGTTTTGTATGGAAGTCAAAAATTAATACTACTTTGTTTACATTTCGCTACCTTAACGACACAGTGCTACCTTTTGCAGTTGTAATAAAATACAATCATGCGTTTTATCATTATTGAAACATTATCAAACACATGTTTGTCATTTCTAAAGAAATAAAACAATATGGATCTGAGGCACAATGAGCCTTTAATGATAACTTGAATCACTGTATCATTGTTTTTTGTTGTTGTTGTGTTCTTTTACTTTGTTTTTTGTTTTAAAGAAGTTATTTTTTGCAAATTCTTCAATATATTTTCATAAATTAAGTAACCTAGTGACTAAATTTAACACATACCGCTATATAAAAACATCAGCATTCAGTTAATAAACATTACAATACCAAATAACAAGCGATTATATTTGTTCATCTTTTTTTCTTATTACAGTAAAATGAGGGCCAAGACACACCTGCCACTGCAGAGGTCAAAGTACTACTATCGCAAAAGAAAATAACACTGAGCCGTGTGACATCAAATCCCATCAATAGTTCAATAGTTCATTTGATATGTTATAAAAACCATTAAATCAATTAAGCATTTATCCTATAGACAAAAAGTGAAATAATTGATCTTGAATAATTGAAATAAGTATTAACTATCTTTTTACACCTGACCTTTAACTTTCTTTTAATGTATATGTATCTATTGGAAACTGTGCGTGAAACTTACAATTTTGTTTTCGTGCGACTAACTATCCAGAAATTGTTCGTTTTACTTACTATACACTTGCAAAGAACATTTGTAGGCTACATAATTTCGAACAAAATTTTATATGGACTTCTACGATAACATATGTCAATAAAATGATTGATTTGGTGTCTGAAGTGCAGAAAAAAAGCTTATTTTCATTTTTTTGGTACCAAATTATACCGCTTCGTGTGGATTACTATCGCTGAATGTGCAATTTTCACACAATTCAAACAATGTTCTCAAAAACTACAAAACGTAGGATAATGCATTTTGTATTGTCATTTGAAGAAAATTTCCGTGCATATGATGCGCTAGGTTTTGTTTTGATTTAAGAAACGTTTGTCACTTTAATTTAATATAATAAGGTACTTACCGGGGCTCAGCACTCGCCATTTTCTATACAAAGTCACGTGATCCCCCCCCCGTGAACATTTAAATGCTGTAATTTTTAATTAAGAAACAGGGGCGGACAGAACAGGGTTAGCTGGTGGGGTTGGGGGCTAGTTAACATGTCGGTGGAAGCTTTAGACAAAAACTATTGCACAGGTGAAAACGCGTGTTTTTGAAGATTGGGCTATGGATTTTGTGCTTTTGACAAAAATGTAGGACTTCCTCATCTTATGAGTGGCAATTTATTTCTTATAATTAGTTTGTCTATACTACTTGTCTACAGTGGTGAAATTGAAATAAAGAATATACGTATGTGTGTGAATAGGATCTCACCATTGTAATGCAGTACTGTATTGTCTGAAATTATATTTTTTTATTAACAGTCAATTTACTTGACAAATAACTTATTAGCCGATTTACCAAAGTAAATGTGTTATTTGAAATAATGCTTTTTATTCTACAAAAGATAAAAAAATAAAACGCTTATATTTAATAAGCATTTTAATTATTCTATCAATGAATCTTTGGCTAATACTCCGTGGAAATTGCATGGAGGTAAATTATCACAACTTTGCTCTTTAAGGGCATGACTGGTGACATGTCCGGGTTCCGTACTCGACAGCGAAAGCTGCATTTTGTGCCCGAAAGGGCGGATGGACCCTCATTAAGCATTTACTACACACACGTATACCCATAGTAACAATATCAATCACAAAACATACAGGATCTTTAACTTTCTTGAATTCACTATAACAACATTATCATTTTTTATGAAGAATTCGTGAAGTTGAAATCATAAATTTTTAAAATTGAAATTATTAATTGGGAAAGTCAAAACTTTAAATCGTGAAGTTAATTTCCTGAAATTGAAATAATAAAATCGTGTTGTTGAAATCGTAAATTCGTGAAGTTGAGATCGTAAATTCAAGAAGCAAATAATTGAACTGTTATGTTTGATATTCAGATAAAACAATGCAATTAGAAACTCAAATACAATAACTCCGGTTAGTTATATTTTATTCATCCTGAAAAGCATGATATAACATATTTAATAAACAACACAATAAAATATATACATTTTCTTACATAACAATAATTCTATACATACATTTATCTATTATATTATGTTATATCTTATCATCGAAACGTTAACTGAAGCCAAGAAAACGAAACTGATGAGAACCTTTCTTGTTATTAATCCTTTACCTGCTTAATGCGTGAAAAAATGGATTTGCCTTTTAAAAGTTTGGTAGATTCCATTTTAAGTGTAAAAGATTTTAGTATTAGAATAGAAAGATGCTCGAATGTACATGCTGGCTTGGCTGTATACTGGTGGCAAAGGCTAATCACTTTGGGTTCTAGCAGATTAAGGATTAGTTAAAAGATCGTTGTGAAATTTAATCACCTGTATTTGAACAAAACAATGAGGACATCGACAAATTAGTATTTTAAAACAAATGTATATATGTAGTATACAGTCAACATTATGTGATGATTAAAAAATAAGATAACTATGGTACAGAACATAACTACTTTACATATAAGCCGTGCAAAATGAAAATTTAGAGAAAGAGTGATTCTTTGGAAACATTAATCACAATAAAATTACACTCGGTTTCACTGAGTGTTTAATCTGTCGATTACTTGGTGAATTTCAAATTTAATGCCCATGTGCATTAATTTTAATAAAAATTATATATGAATTGAAATAATTGATTATAACTTTTGTATAGTCTCCTGGTGTTAGCGATGATAAGTCTGTTTGTCATAGCAGAAATATACTACATTTTGATTAAGGCACTTTTTCTCAGCACATTGTTTTATTTGAATGTCTTTTTTGTTACGAACAGCTACATTGGTGCTAGACCGTCAGTATAATTTCTTGATCCATCCATCATATGTAACCGATATTTTTTTCTTTCATGCTTTAAAAACTTTGAATGGATGTGTAAATCTTCTATGTAAAACAGAAGATTGTGTTTCTAACATGATATTTTGAATTTCTGCATTTTCATATTTCCTTCACAGCTATTTATAACAACAAGAAATGATTTATCACGTGATACACACACTTTATATGGATGTTTCATTTCTAACTTGTACGATGATAATATCTGACCTGTTTGTGATATCTGTACAATGGTGTTTGTTGTACGACAACACACCAAGATAGTATCAGAAAGACCAACTGCTGCACCACGTGGTTCCTGTATCTGGTCATCCTTTATTACGACTCTTGAGTCTGTCTTGATATCATATATGAAGACTGTATCCTCGTCTCTGTCTGTAATCACCAATTTGTCACTGCTCTTTATGTAAGTACAATCGCTTGAATCTGCAGGATATATCTTGTTTGGTAAGTTTACACTAAAATCAAGCTCCTCTCCTGCCAATGATACAATACGAACAGATCTTGGTTCATCATAAGTCCCTACTACGAAATGTCTATCACCTTTTAAACATATTGAGTCATATTTCGTTTTCACTTTACATGTCCTACTTGAACTTATTTCATTACATTTACTAACATGCAGAAATTCTATATTGTGACCATGTGTAATCGCTACTTTCTCTTCAGATACTACAACAACAGATAATGGGTGGTGTGATAGCTGATATGATCCTACTTTCTCAAGCTTCTCATTGTACACTAAACATTTCTTGTTTTTGTTATCCACAGCCACCAGTCTACCATCAGGTAAACAATCTATGCCTCTATAAAACGGTTCATCGATATCATCTCCCGTCTTTTTTAAAGCAATAGAAGAAACTGGTGTTAAAGTCATCATCATGTTAACAGATGTAACATCTTCCTGGTGATTAAACTTTAATTGTAATTCTCCTGGAATAAATTCAGTAACTGGTAATGGCGGCAGTTTTATTGTTTCGTCAAAATGAAAAAAAATGTTCACATTCTCTAAGTTCTGACACTCCTCGTCGATGCTTTCGCAGAGAACATTGACGTTACTCTCCATTTTATGTTCTGCTATATATTTCTGCACTAGAGTCCCATTTTTGAAAATGCTTTCAATCGTCTCTATGCACGATGTTACATCAGCCAAATGTTTTTCGTTTCGTGTTTGCTTCTTTGTCAGATTTTCTAATGTTTCTCTCTGAAGAATTTCAGCTCTCTTGACAACCAAATCTTCTAAATCGTCAAACATTTTCATAACTTCGTCTCGCATTCGTCTAACCTCTACTTGTATTTCTTTTATATCTTGAGCAAGTTGATCTTTAGAAGAGCGAATATGTTTCGCAACACCCTCAGCAGCTTCCTTAGCTTCCTTCAATTTCTCCCCTAAGGTAGAAATTGGTGAGGATATTTTTCCGGCAATCTTCTCAATTTCTACAACGCTGTGACATTTTCGATGATACACAATTGCACATTTACTGCAGCAGAGCTTTTTTTCATCTTCACAGAAAAATTCAAAAGAGTGTTGATGATCACCACATAGATCTAAGGCCTTCATTTTAAACGAAATACTTGTAGCATCAGCTTCTTTCACGCTCACCAATTTATGATTTTTCAAGATGGCGAGCACGTTGTGTACATTTGAACAATCATTGCATTGGAATTCATTACAAGTTGAACAAAACTTGTCAGCTACAGTTTGCTTATCCTTACTTAAACATGGTTGACACAAATGTTCCTTCACACGACCAGGAACTTCATCATCCTCTCCTATTTTACTTCCACTATCCGCCATTTTGTGTAACGATTATATTGTCCCTTATTTAGATATTACATATTTATATATGCATATATATTTTCATCTCCAGGTCAATATTCAGCGACTTCACAAACTATGATATTTAAATGAAACAAGTCCGGGTTTTAAACTAATTTAACTAAATAAAAATGATCATGTTAGCCGTAATATATTGTTCAGATCCTTTAAACATGGGACGCGGAAGTTAAATTTCCATGAAGTCTATATCTAAATTAAAAGTCGAACACGATAACGTTTACATTATCCGGTCGTACCATTATGATATTATGGGTTGTGCAAGTTATTCAACTTTTACATTTTCACGGTGCAAAGCAAATAGTAGTATAGGGGTCTCTTTAGCGTCACGACTGCGCATGCGCGGCGGCCATTTTGTTTTATATTAATAGTAACTAATTTGCATAGAAGAAATGACCTCACAACACATGCGCGGCGGCCGTGTTGAATAACAGACGCGCAGCGGCCATTTTGGATACTTTTTTAAGACTGACATCATCACGTTATAAATAAAAATAAAAAATATCTCCCGGAAGTATACGGAGCTGACTCGTATACACAATCTTAGGGCTTGAATCGCGGACATTGTAGGTCAGGTCCTCGGCCCTAGACGGAGAGATAAATATTATCATTTATGTCTGTAAATAAATACCTGCTTAACATTTTAATTAATAAAAGCAAATAAAATAGAATTAAAAAAATACAAATAGCTTATGTTTTTTAATATGGTCAAAATAAATAAGATACATTCAATAAAAAATATTACTTGTTTACTCCTCGGCGGTCCGAAACCAAATGACACAAATCATCAGTGTATTATTTCTAAATGCTCTGATCACGAGTGTAAAGTCGCCACAATGTATGGCGTGTGTTTATTTAGGGACGGAAACACTAACAATGGCCTATTGAAATGTTAAAGTTAATCCCTTTAAAGTAGCCACTCGGTCTGGCGTATGTTTATTTAGGGACGGATATGCGGACAATGCTCCATTCAACTGTCAAAGTTTATCCGTCTAAAGTAAAAGCGGGTAATTAATTATTTATTGAAGTGTCAGTCTACCACTGGGGCATAATTTTAAACATATTTTGGAAAAGAAATGCCAACATGTTTTGAAAATTGATCATCACGAATGTGCAAAATTATAAAAAAAGCTATAATTAATGTTAACTAAAACCGAACAAAAATACAACAGAAAAAGCGTTTTTCGTCTTTTGTGCAACATTTTACGATATATATTTTGATTTTTTTCGCATCAAATAATAGACCTGACAGAATGCTTCAAAATAAACCCTAGGTTCTCGATTCGATTTTTAGCCGTTTTCGAGTTATGGCCCATTAGCAGTTTTTAAACCATTTTTATAAAGTTCATAAAACCCTTAGATTTATATGCCGTTTGAAAGATCTCTGCCAGTAGATACAGAAAATGTATTATTATATAGATCTATCTTTTACTGTTTCTGAGATAGGAGAGTTTCAATATGGCAGACAAAATCACTCATGCGGAAAAACGCGCATAACTTTTTCGTTTATGAACGAAACATAGTCGTGTTTGGTATCATATTGAAGGTCTTGACGAGTACATTCTGACGCTGGCGATAGTAAAGTTCATACTGGAAGTCAAAATCACTCATGCGTAAAATATATATATTTTTGTTACTAGAGCAATCGAATCCGATATGATATTTAATTGTTGACTACCAATTGAAAGAACAGTTCATTACCTTTTATTTACACCCCCATTATCGATTCGATTTTCAGCCGTTTTTGAGTTATGACGCAAGAGCGATTTTAAACCCTAAATTGCGAAAGTCAATAAAAACGTTACAACTGTTTACCAATCGATTCGTCTTGTCGCGCTGATTAAGAAAATATATAGTTTTATGGGTTTATCTTTTACCGTTTTTGAGTAATTCGAGTTTAAAGTCACCGGAAGTGACGTCACAGAAATTTCAAAATCGATTTCTTCGTTATTACTTAAGCGAATATATACGTGTTCGGTATCGTTGGAAAGCATTTTACCACACCTGTTACTTGACGCTATTCAAAAAGCCATTGGACCGGAACTGAAATCACTGAAGCGTAAAAACGTGTTTTCTGTACCACGCCTGGACCGATCTAAGGCGTGTTTGGTATCAAATGAAATGTCTCAAGCCGCTCTTTATGAATACGGACTAAAATCGAAATTAAAATCACTCATGCGTAAAAATCATTAAAATAACTAAAATAAGCTTACCCCCAGTCTTTACTCCTTGCCTATTAAACTATTTATGACAAGTTACTATAGCCTATCGTTTTCGGTCCAGTTACGACAGGTTTAAATCGGTATTGCTATTTTTAACAACCAATCAAAATGGAGAACGATAACGTTTTTACCAAAAATAGAAATGACTTGCCCAGTGGAGAGTATATAAGAGAGCGCTTTAGCCCCCCTTCGTCATTCTGACTTCAGAACTCTAGCGGCGGTGATTGGCAACCAGAAACACTTAATGATTGGCTATGACAATGCGTCAAATCTTGGAAAATGTTGACGTTGAGGAAAGTGTTTCATTTCGAAACACATCCCTGCATTATCATTTAAAGTTTATCAAATGGATAGGGATTATTGTGATTGCCTTATGTACTATACCTGTTTTCTTGATTTACGTGTACTCGGATTGTGGTGTACCAGCCAACGATGGAGACATACGACCAAACTTGAACCAAACTATATGCACTTTTGTTGAGCAGTTTCATCTTTAAGACAATTTATATGCTACAGTGTGCAATCAGGCTAATTATGTATTTCTAGATATTAGAGAGTTCATTAATGGAACGGCTACAATTCGCGGCATAGACTTGAACATACTTCAGTGGATAAGCCTAAAGAGGTTTACTTCAAGTATAGACAAGGTCATGACACTGCGGAAAGAGTAAAGTATAATAAGTAAATACATATTTCCGTTTATATTGTAGCGGAGAAAATACATGAATTAAGAGTGTAATTCTTTTAGTCACCGCCACCGCCGCCGCCGCCACCACCTCCACCGCCGCCATCACAAAGAAAACTGTCTACAGCGTAAGAAGGATGATCATATCAATAGATGGAAGAATACCGCAGTGTACTTCTGTGACCACTTTAATAATGAATCAGTGTTCTGTTTGCCAGCAGTCTTTTTCAAGACGTGACGTCATGCTGAGACATCAACGTTATGAACATGGGAGTGATGACACTGTTAAAAGTGATTCTTTATCGCAACAAATCACTCATAGGGACACTTCAGAAAAGATGAATTTTCAACACCCATTTTCTATGGTCGTCTCCGGGCCTAGTGGTAGTGGAAAAACTGAATGGACTAAAACACTGCTTTTATCCGATCTAGTAAATCCGCCACCAGAGCGCATCATATGGTGTTACGGGCAATGGCAGCCTCTGTACGATGAACTTCAACGTAGAATACCCTGGATAGAATTTGTACGAGGTATCCCCGATTACTTGAATAGTCAAGAGTATATTAATACCCGTAAAAGGAACTTGATTGTTTTTGACGATTAAATGACAGAAGCCAAATGCGATCAAAGAACTGCTGATCTTTTTACCAAGGGCAGTCACCACAGAAACATATCTATTATCTATCTCACCCAGAATTTATTTCCTCAAGGAAAAGCTTGCAGGGACATCGCTTTAAATACCCAGTACCTGATATTGTTCAATAATCCTTTCGACAGACAGCAAGTGGCGACATTGGCCAAAAGAATATATCCCACATCCAGTGCCATTTTTATGAAACGGTTCGAACAAGCTACGTCGAATTGTTACGGTTATTTGGTAATAGATCTTAAATCCAGTACACCTGAACATAATCGTTTACGTAATGACATTTTTGAGGCCAACAATCCAGAACTTAGAAAACGGATGGATATACCTCCGGAGAACCAGTTACACGGTGAAGGTAATTCGTCTGACACGACGATAAATGACGATGATGATGATGATGAAGATGCAAATGATGATGATGATGCAGATGATAATACTGATAAAGAGCATATAGAGGGTGGTGTAAAGAGACAAGCTTTTTTTATGGGACCTCCTGGTAAGCGTGTAAAAGAAGAGCTCAAAGAAGAACGCAAACGTCATGACATATGGGATAGAAGATTTCAAAAGCCTTTACGACAGTCTTGTAAAGAACAATTTAAAGACGGGCTAAACAGTTACATAGATCAAGAGTACTCTTTTGATGAGGCTTATGCTCGCACTGCTAATGATGCGTTGCCACATTTGAGAAAGAAGATGAGACAAAATTATGCCCAGTTTCTGATTGACTTTTACGCATTACAAGAGGACCCCACTCAGCAACAAATTCTCCAGTCAGCGAAGAAACTTAGACATCAGCACGACATGACCATTGAAGAATCAATCCGACAAGCCGTTAAACTTAGAAAAGACCGGTTTGAGGCGTTATGGCCTAATCACGACATCAAGGATTTTAATGGTGAGAATAATAAAGATGATGACAATGAAGATCACATATCAGATGGAGAATAAAAATACCGTAAGAATGATCTTTGCTCCTTTACTTTCAAAACACAACATGAGTTCCATAGAGGTGTACGATCATAAACAACAAAAATGGGTGCCGTATATAAATGACCCAGATAAATTGTATCAGCATTTTAAAGATTTGAGAGACGGTTACGTGACACCCGATCATAGAGGCCGGTACATTATAGGTAGCTGTAATTCGCGTAGAAGGCTCGTGACACTAGAAACGAAGCTCAAAGAAACGGAGAAAAAGCTTAAAGAAACGGAAGAGAAGCTTCAAAATGCACAACGCCCTGTGGTTAATATGGTTAGCCCCGTGGCTCAAGCGGTTGAAATGGCAAAGTCGGAAGTAAAACGATTACGTGATTCCAATATAGAAACGTCGGCGCCTAAGAAGCGTAAAACGGATATTGACTGGACTCGGTTCACTTTCTAAAATGGATAATTACCAGCTAGAAAATATATTGAAAAGATACCCAGTGACAGTGTGTGCGGCTGATGAAATTCGTAAACAAAACGGAAGATTTGTGATTTCAAACACAGATACGAGTAACGGACCGGGAAAACATTGGGTAGCCTTCTATTTTCCTAGACACGGACCTTACGAATATTTCGACTCGGTTGGAAATAGTCCAGAAAGCTATGGCGTGGGATTTGAGAAGATACTTAACAAGAAATATCTCAGAAATTA